AGCGATTAATTATCCTTTTCATATAGGGCTGTATTAAACAACATGTGGAACTGTACAAATATTATACCAAAAATATTGTTCAGAAAAGGTGGGAATGCACAAGCAACACAAGAATGCTGTTCCTGCACCTGTCAGTCATCTCCAAGAAACTGAAGCTTTGAGAGTCTCAGTGGAGGGGCTTAGATCAGTACATCTTTATTGGGTCCATGCATCCTCATTTCCTTCGCACTCCTGTCCTTTGTGTTTTATTTAAACCTCTACAGCACACTTAATGCAACTTTTTAAATCTGCAGGTTTTTAATACATCCCGTGGGAACTTACAGGAGGGGTTGGTGTATGAGAGACACGGGTATTGCATGAGGAACGGAGAGAGCAGCTTAAGCAAGTTTTACACTTTTTTTTTTGTATTTTTACTAGAACCTGCAAACATATCAACTGTCACGTACTTTCTCTCATATTCAGCACTTTATTTTCTAGCCTTACCTTCATGTACTATTGTTTTAATTAAGTTCTTAAATAATTTGTAAAACATGTAGCTTTTTCTCTTATGTACTTGTCAAACCTCTTGTCATTTTGCAGAGTCACGTACATATGTTGCCTGGACATTTTATGCCACCTAAAGATCAGTGGTGCTGCATTCTGGCCAGTAAATTTCTTATTTTGGCTACTTCATCAAAATCTGGGCAGTTTCTGTATATATAGAAGGTAGAAATGGAAAATGAGAAAAAAATATTTGAAAGGGAATATATTGATTAATTACTAAATATTTTATTCACAAAGGGTCAATAACTTGGCAAGATAAAATTATTATTTGTATAGTTTTGTCTGAATGAACGAGAAGAGTGTGGATGTATTGTTTGTACATATTGTATATATTAAAGAGATATGTGCATGAACTCAAGAAAAAGAAATGAACAAAGCAAAGCATTAGTGGCTATGGTCTGTAAAATGAAACAAAAACTTTATTTCACTATAAGAAACTTTATTTTAAATGTTCTTTAGAAGAACATTTTTGCTAAAGCATGACTAAATGGCAAAAAAAAAGAGCTACTGTATTTAGACTTAGGAAAAAAAGGCAGAGCAACATTACTAAAAAAAAAAAAAAAAAAAGAAAAAAAGGATATGTTTACATTTGATTTTGGCTACCAGGAGTTTGGTTCAGTTGGGTTTAATTTATGTATTCCTTCCTTCTTTTTTTTTACCCCCGTCTTTTTTTTTTTCTTTTTTTTTGCCAATGGTGCCAAGTAATGTGAATGCTAATATTGCTTAAGAAAATTAAGTTACTTTTGCAAAGCAGATAATCATAAGAGTACAAAAACCGTATCTAGCTTAACACCATACACTCACTCCAATAAAGAACACTTAGAATGAACATAAAATGAAAAAAAATAAATAAATAGTACGAAAGTAGAAAATATGTTTCACATTTTCATATCTCCTGCTGGAAGTCAGAAAATGTAATAAAAATTGCACAAAAAATTTTAAAAAATTAAGTAAAACTTAAAAAAAAGATGCAAACTGATCCTGTAGGGGTGTCATGGTATATTGCTATTTCCACATAGTGAGGAGCCAAAGAAATTAGATTTTTTTTTAAATTGAACTACTAATTTAAAACTGTCACAGATTCTCAACAATGGGAACCAGTTCTGATCTTCATTACACAGGAATGTAAGGGAAGAAACTCCTGAAGTCCGTGTCATTACTTGTGGGTCACGTACATGTGTCTGAGATCAGAAACTGCTCCTGTCTGTTTGTCTCGCTCGTGGCAGTTTAAAATTTCTGAATGAACTTGTGTAAATTTGAGATTGTTAGTTTTGGAATAGTTGTTCTTGCTTGATCCCGGCCACCAACTGCAATGTTTAAACGCAAGGCTTGTTGTGAAGCCAAAAAATATTCACACATAAGAAGCTTTGAAACTGGTGTCTTTAAAAGAAGAGTAAAAACAAAGATTGTGGCAAAAAAACTGGGGTCAGTGCTCTTGGTGCCTTTTCTATAATTGTACCTGTTTTTAATTACTTCTTTTCACTGCCAGCATTGAATTACAGTAGATGTGCTATAGCTCATGATCAGAATTCTCTTGTACATTTCTGAACTGCTGCTTTATGACCTGATTCAATTTTAAAAAAAAAAGGGAAAACCGCAAAATGAATGGCCTGGCGCTCACACCRTGCCTGTGGGCAGCCTCATAGCCTCGATTTACTGTCTGCAATTGGAACCTTAACCATTAAATTGTCCTCTTATGCCAAAACAGAACAGGAGATGCTGAAGAATCTCCTTTGGAATGAATTGGAAATGCTCTGTATTAGTACTGGAAGAACTCCTGACATTTTTTGAAACTGAAATATTGCACCCATTAACCAATACGTGACAATATAGAATTGATCTGTTCCTAACAAGAGTAGTGACCTCAGTGGAAATGTTTTAACTCCTTGTCTTTACAGAAAACAATTCAGTAATATACAGAGCTATTTCAAATTACTCTTCCAGATCCATGGGCCTGGTGGTGTATCTATTAATCTAGATCCTGCTTCAGCCAAACGTTTAAGCCTGTACTGGCTGTCAAACATGCAAGCAGTTCTGCAGCACAGCTCCAGGACTGCTGGCATGCTCGAAGCCAAGTACAGCTCCCAAGTGCTTTGTTGTGTCGGGCCGTAACCCTTCAGTGTGTCACTGGGGAGGGAGGAGCACTCCCCCGCAGTGAAGTGATTCTTCAAACCCTCTTCTTGGTTGTGGAACTTAACATTTTCACCTAAGATAAGTAAGTGCAGCTTTCTAGGAAAAAATCAAATTCCCAAGTGCCAGGAGCCAGATCTTCTGTCTTCTGATAATAGAATCGCTCCTTTGTGAAACACATTCGACAGCAGTAATACTGTGTGAAAGAAATACAGAATATAACATGAACCCCCTCTCTGGTTGCACGCTTATGGCAGTTCCACACAATAGCTGGTGCCCAATGGGGGGTCCCCAAGACTTGCATGTAAAACTAGTATAGATGTCTTCTCTTTTGTAAGTTTTATTTTTGTAACTGTGCATGTAAAGCATCACTGAATCAATGGATCTGTTGAAGAACTCAGCTGCTGGAACCATGCAAAATGTTTTGAATTGCCCTTAAAATATGGAAAATGTTTTCTGAATGCTTTATATTCTTTCTGCTGTAAATTAAAAAAGAAAATTTCCCCATACAAAGTGTGTGCCTCCTTCTGAACACATCTCTTCCATCCTACTTTGAGAGCAGTGTAGTCCTTTAGTCACTGTAAGGAACCACAAAATTACACTTCTGCTCTACCTGACCTCTTTGTAAGTACATTGCATCTGATTTCTTATGGGTAATAGTGTGACAGTCCACAGCCTGCCCGTGAGCAGATGCAGCCCCCAGAGCTTTGTTGCAATTCCTCTTCAGTGGACAATCACTTCCAGCATTTTTCATGAGGAATCATATCGATCTGGTAGCAAAATGCTAAATCCTGCAGTGTACACAAAGCAGAGTCAAATATTGACAGAATTCAAAACGGCTGCTGATGCAGAAACCTAAGAGGTCACAATAATACAATCAACTGAGACATAATCACTATTGCACTTATCAATATGTAACTTACATGAACTGGTCCTCAAGAATGAAACTTGTGCCAGACTACAAGGCCAGCCCAACAGGCAAAACCAGGTTTAATAAATTKATCACCTGGTCTGTAATATGTTAGTACTATTAATGAATAAGTTCTTCCAAAACCCAGTTCCACAATAGAAGATGAGATTTCATTAAGCGAGTTTCTTATCGGCTGCAGAGAAAAGTTTTAATTATGTTTCTCTTTAACAATGTACCAGCATTAACTCTCCAAATTGCTCTCAGATTCTTTCCCATTTTACATGGCTGTTAATTGCTGGGTTCTTTATCATCGTGGCGGGTTGGCCCTGTCCTGAAAGCAGATAGACACCTGCGAGCTGTGTCCTCACTTTCCCATCTCGTCCCTTATCCCTGGGCGCATAGAGGGAGAGAACTGGAAGACCRAACACAAGGGGAAAATATGCCTGGGTTGAGATAAAGTTAATAAGTGCAGGGAAAAAAAGGAAACAAAAATCAGAAGACGTGGTTCAAAGGCAGCCGGTGCTTCCCTGCCGCCATCCCACCAGCGCCTTGCGGAGGCCGCTGTTCCCTGGCGGAGCAGCCCCAAGGCTCCCACGGGGACACCGCCAGCAGCAGCCGAAGCCCGGCGTGTGACCGGCCCTGCTGTGGTCACCGACAGCACGGCCAGCGCTGTGCGGGTGCRGGGCGAACATCGGCTCCAGCCCCGCCGGGACCCGGGCACCGAGCGCGGGGATCCCGCGGGGCACCCCTGGAGCCAGGGCGGGGGACACGGAGCGCGGGGACACGAGTGACGACAGCATGAGATGCACGTGTGTGTGTGTGTGTCTGTGTCTGTGTGTCCCCGTGTCCCCGTGTGTCTGTCTGTCCTGTGTCTCKGTGTGTCCCCGTGSCCCTGTGTGTGTCTGTCCGTGTGGCTCTGTGTGTCCCCATGTCCCCGTGTCCGTGTGTCTCCTGTGTCTCTGTGTGTCCCCGTGCCCCTGTGTGTGTCTGTCCGTGTGGCTCTGTGTGTCCCCATGTCCCCGTGTCCGTGTGTCTCCTGTGTCTCTGTGTGTCCCCGTGCCCCTGTGTGTGTCTGTCCGTGTGGCTCTGTGTGTCCCCATGTCCCCGTGTCCGTGTGTCTCCTGTGTCTCTGTGTGTCCCCGTGCCCCTGTGTGTCTGTCTGTCCGTGTGGCTCTGTGTATCCCCGTGCCCGTGTGGGTGTCCGTGTGTCTCTGTGTGTCCCCGTGTCTCTGTGTGTCCCCGTGTCCCCGTGCCCGGCCGCTCGCGCTGTTGCCGTTGTTGCCGTTGCCGTTGCCGTCGCCGCCCGGGGCGGGTACGCGGCGGGGCAGGGCAGGGCAGGGCAGGGCCGGCACACCCCCGGACAGCGGCCTGCGGGGCACGGCCATGGCCCGGCCCCGGCCCCGGCCGCGCCCCTGGGCCCGCCCGGTCCCCCACCCAACTCCCGCCCCGGAGCCCATCCCGGTCCCGCCCCGCTCCCCGCCCGTCCCCCGCCTGCCGCCTCCGTCCCGAGCCCGCCCCGGGACCCGCCCCGTGGTGCGTCAGCGCCCGGCGCCGCGCACAATTCCCCCTGGACCCGGGCGGCTGCTGCCGCGGCCCCGCTACCGTTACGCCGCCAGGATGTGAGTGCGGGGCGAGCGGGGGCGCGGGGAGCGGCAAAGGGAGCGGGAGCGGGAGCGGGAGCGGGAGCGGGAGCGGGGCTCGGTCCGGCCCCGCGGGCGGCGGCTCCGGGAGGGGCCCGGTGGAGGCTCGGCCCGGTCCGGCCCGGCCGTGCATTGGCCCGCCCGCCCTGGGTCGCTGTCCGGCCCGGTACCGGAGCTCTGAGCCGGGCTGGGCTGCGCTGTCCCGGCTGTCCCGCCAGCCCCGGGCGCGGCTCGGAGCGGGGCCCGCCCTGCCGGGCACCGGGGCGTTGCTGTGTTTGGAACCTCTCAGGAAGCCGTGTCATTTCTGAGGCTTTCACCTGGGACTGGCACTGGAGCAGCTCCGAAGGATGGCTGCAGTGGCAGATCAGTGACCCTGTGCTGTGCAGGGGCTGCTCTGAGCCTTGCCCCGGCTCCTGCGTGGTGCCTGTACTCACTGCATGCAATTTGAAAGCCAATGTTTAAATGTGTAAATACAGGAAACGGTCAGACTYGGCTCTTTGTAGTGTCAGGATGCACTAGACAAGCGTATGATGTGGAATAAGTAAGAACATGGRAAAGGAAATTGAGTACAGATAGTTCTGGAGATATGCATAAAAAACATGGCTAGGCAGTGAAAAGGTAATGAGAACTATGTGCAGAAGTTCTTGCATCCATTACAAAGGAGCAGAGTGTTATAGCAGGTAAAAAGAACTCTGTTACRGATTCAAAGCTGACCAGAGATAAATTCTTGTATTTGCCAAATACTTTTTCCTTCTGGTGCTTTCTCTTGCTCCWTATGAACCATTTCAAAAGAATAGAGAAGCATTGCTGGAGAATCACGTAGTTAGAATAAGTATTACSGTTTTGTATTTAACTTCCTGTAAACTGTTGCTTGAAACTTAGTACTTGTGTTCATATGGGAAAGCGAGAGCACCCCTGAGCCCACACTTCTCACTTTTTGAGCCCTGTGGACCATTGTTGGAGCTGTCCTCTGCCTCATTTCAAAGTGTGGTATCAGCACAAGCCGCTGCTGCTGCCTCTTAGCACAGCAGGCAGTTTGTTGACAAAATGTTTGGGACACTGCATGACTGCGCCCACTGCCAGCTGTTAAAACATCATTTCTCCAGTAAGAAACTGCCCTGTGTGAATTCCAAGCATACAAGTTCCCAGTTTTCAGGAATGTCAGATGAATAACGATGATTTTCTTTAYTGCAGGTCAGCTAATGTCCCACCAAACATGGCTGGCAATCGTCGGCTTCAGCAGACTCAACATCAAGTAGAYGAGGTAAAAGTCTGGTCTGACAGTAGTGTCATCCTCTTCCTTCAGGAAATCTATGTAATTGGAAGGGATATTTTTGCCAAAGCAGTTTCCCCTTCATTATTTGAAGGGGAAGCAGAGAGAAGTTCCCACTGTCCAAACAATAGCTGCAGTCTTGGTGCTTGAGGAGTTGGCATAAATAAAGATAAAACCCTTTGTTTAYAGAGAACAAGCTTTTCTCTTATGAGGCCTGACTGCCAAATGTGATTTTTGTGGAGTCCAAAAGCCAGGCTGGCTGGCAAGTATTTTTTGACCTGGTTTGTTAGCTTTATATGCCTCAACTCCTTGTGATGCGGGTCAGGAATTGTTTCCCAGATTTGAAGGAATGCCAGCATCACTGACCTTTTAAAGTAGAGATTAGGGGCTTCTAGCCCCAGGTGAACTTCAGAGTTCTGTTTAATCTTGATTGCATGTATTAAAAGGCAATAGCTCCTGCTGCTGAGAAGAGAAAGYATTGAGTACCATGTGTTGCTGTCTGTTGGCTGCGATTATGTTCCACTGTGGATCACCCAAGTGGTACCTTACTGCTCGTGTTGAACTGCTGTAGGTTGTTGACATCATGAGAGTGAATGTGGACAAGGTGTTGGAGCGAGATCAGAAGCTGTCAGAGCTGGATGACCGCGCTGATGCCCTGCAAGCAGGAGCTTCCCAGTTTGAGACCAGTGCAGCCAAGCTGAAGAGGAAGTACTGGTGGAAGAACTGTAAGGTGAGGTTGGTTGGTGTGCTTACACTGTGCCTGGAGCACTATTGCAGTTGGTGTCACAAAAAGCAGAAGAAAAAGTTGCTTTAGCTGATGTTATTGAAGTTACAGCATCTGGTTTTTAAAGCATGGCAGGGTGGCTGGGTGAAGGAACAAAAATCTGCGTTACTGGCTGTGCTGCATTCAGGATCTTGTAAAAGATGGTCATGGCTGGGGGGAAGCATGTCAGTAATCTGAAGCTTTGAGAAACAGGAAGAAAAYGCTAAAAATGCATAGCTTGAATTAAAGTGTGGGAAGTATTAGAAAGTGGAAGAAGCTCACTCAGACTCCTGTACTTGTAGCTGTTGCCAAAGGTTGGAATCATCTTTGGTGAGTAATACAKACAGCTTGTGTATTCACTTGGGACAGACTTTATGTGGAGAAAACCGTATTGCTCTGTTTGCTTTTGTGCATGGCCTGCCATCTCTGAGTKCTTGTAGTGATTTGAGCTTGCTGACTGAAGAACCTTTGCTTGCCACATTAGATCTGACAAATAGTGCTAAAAGTCCCCTGTAGGAGCTGTTTCCTGTACCCTGAGGGRCAGTTGATGCTGTTGAATGGTTTGTAGTTGTTGCATGGTTTGTAGTAAGTGCTGTTGGCTTTTTTTCACAGATGTGGGCAATATTGATAGCTGTTGTTGTCATTATCATCATCATCATTATTGGTAAGTTTGACCAAAATGGGGATTTCTCCTAGGTTTGGACTGAACGGGGTTAGTTCACTGACTGGTGTAGTTTCAGCAAAGCCAGGATACTCAGATGGAAGTATACCCAACATGAATTTAAAATTAATTTGAAGTAGCAGTGATGGATTTAACAAGCATTATGTGCAGTGAGTGGCAAGCTGGTCATGTGGGAGCTCCAGTACTGGAATCTCAACCACGAGTGAGGGTAACAAAGGTGAAAGTGAAAATAGCAAGGACTTGGAAGCCAGGAACAGACTCAGGGTTTTTTTTTACAACTGCTTGTTGCGGAAGTGTAACATGAGATTGCACACACCTTCCTTGTCTGAGAGCTGTTATCTGCCTTGGCTTCCTGCTGAAGGAACCTTTTTTGTGGCRATTCCAAGTGCACTGCCATACCAGGGAGGCTTTGTGTAGAGGTTTTGCTGCTGGGTGAAATGAGACCAGCATTGGGTTAGGATTGGGAGCAAATGAATGTATGGTTCAGTCTTTGAGTCCTCATGTAATAGCCAAATATTTAATGGAGAGACAAAGTTTTTAAGTTTTTAAGTGTGTGCTGTAACACGGTAACAAACACTGCAGTGACCGCACAAAGGAAAACGACACCTAAGAAAACCAACATGGGTAAATTTTTAGATTTAAGGGATGTAAGAGGGATTTCTCTCTATTATCTTAAATTCTTAAAACGCAGGATTGTTATGGTGAGGGGCTGAAGGACACCGTCCAACCTTTTTCTTCTTTTTATAGTCTGGAGCGTGTCTTCATGAGTCACAATAAGAAACTCAGATCAACCGAAGGTGCCTTTGAGAATCTTCAAGCCTCTCCACTTCAAACCTGCTGCCTTCTCAGTCCATTTACTGCTGTTTAAAGCAAAACTATTTTGATTACCGAGATGTTAACTAACTTTACTGGTCGCCTTAAGACACTCCTGTCATTAATTACTAACCAGCACAGCTCACCACTCGCACGGTGCCTTAACGAACCGGGGCGGGCTCGGCTCCGGGGTCCCGCTCCGGGCCACGCCCCTCGTGTTTGGGCCACGCCCAGGGGCGGGGCTTAGCATCGCACGTGGCGGCGGGGCAGGCGCGCGCACGGGGGCCGCGTGCGGCGCCGCGTGAGGGGCGGGGCGGTGCCCCCGCCCGCGCCGGCCCCGCCCCCCGCGCGCGCTCTCCTCCAATAAAACGGCTCTGACTCCGCCTCCGCCTCCTCCTCTGTCCGCGGGGCGCGGCGCACGTGGCGCGGGTGTGTGGGAGCGGGGCCGCCGCGTGCGCCGCGTTACGTAACGGGCGCGGGGCGGGGGCGCGGCCCCTCAGGGCGCTCCCGGCCCGGAGCGGGGACAGCCCGGGGTCGGTGGGAGAGGCGCGGCCTCGGAGGGGCGGGAAGGCGTAAGCGGAGGCCGCCGGGGCCTTTTGCGAGGCGTCGGCTCTGGCAACTGCGAGCTGAGGGGGGGCGTGCAGGGGAGCGGCGCGGGAGCGCGGGACCGGCCCCGGTGACCCCTCGGAGCGGGGGCGGGGGGGCGCCGCTCCTCCCACCGTCCCGTGAGGCGGCGCGTGCTCTCCCTGCAGCACCGGCGCCGGTACCGCGGGCCGAGGGTCCGGCCGTGCCCAGGGGCCGTGGCAGCCGATGCCCCCCGCGCTGTGGCGCTCAGCGGAGCCGGGATGGATGCGGGCGAGCGCCGAGGCGGCAGCGCTGAGCACGGCGCGGGTCGGGCCGCAGCTGCCTGGGCTGGGGCCGGGGGAGAAGCGGCGGCGGCGGCAGCGCCCGGGGGTGCTGCGAGCGCTCGATGCGCGGCGTGCGCGGGAAGCGGCCCCGGCGAGACTGAGCTGCACAGCCCCGAGTCCAGCGGCGACTCGACCGCCGGCAAAGCCAACAGGTACGGGGGATGTGCTCGGCGGGGAATGTGCTCGGCGGGGCCGGGCGGGGAGCGGGGCTCCGGAGCGCCGTTCGGGYCCTGTCACTGCGGGACCCTGCGGTCACGGGCCGCGGCGTGTGCAGGTGAGGGGAGCGCGGTGCTGCTCCCGCTCCGATAAGCTCTGCCTCATTCGGAGAGCGGCTGAGCCGCGTACGTCAGCGACCCTTGGGTGGCTTATAGCTGTACTTCAGCTAAAGACTGTTTAGGGTGTAMCAAAGCAGAAATTACTGAAATAATATTTTTTGTGAAAGTTCAAAAGTTCGGTGAGGTGGGAATTTCTTTTATTTTTTGATTAAAAAAAAAAKAAAAGTTCAAGAGGTATAATGTATGCAGCGTTGAGCAGGAATGCAAAGTTACCACGCAATACTTACACTTATGTAATGGTTTATATAGTAATAGTATGATACTAAAGACAATGTCAAATGGAGAAAAGTTACTTTAAAAATGATGCTTGTATCTTATCTGTAGGATTAGAATCTGTGATTTGAGGATATTGACTGCTTATTTTTTAGTCAGTGAAATAAGCAAATATAAGAAGAGGGAGAATTTATCTGTTAACAGTTCTGCAGTTTTTGAAGTCAACAGCTGAAAAGTATGATGAAGACTCTGAAGTCATGTGAGGAATGAAATCTTTGTATCAGGTGTATTTTGAGGACCTCACGGTTCCCTGAGGTGCTTGTAATCAGGTGCAGCCTTCAAGGCTAAAAAAACTTCCACAGGTCAAGAATCAGCATCTATTAGTGATTTTAATACCAGTGATGTGTAGAAAGTCTAGAGTAAACATCGGTGTATTTTTAGTTGCTAAGCATCTTAGCAGGGAGAGTGATTTTGATGTGACTTTGCCATCYATGACATTGGAGTTGGAAAGGAGGAAGGTAGAGGAGAAAAGCGTAAATAGCAAGAAGGGAGAGTGATACAACAGGAAATTTAGTGAATGAGCATTAGAACATTTCTGGGTATTGCGTGACTCTGCAGCCGTTCCCATAAAATGTTAATTCAGGAAATAATTTAAATGGTGTGATAGAAAAGAATTCCCCTATACCAGAATTCTCTGGTAAAGTTTAACCTGTGTTCTACAGTGAGCAGCTCAATTGGAGCCAGTCCCACAAAGATATGATGATGATGATCCAAGAAATGAAAAGGTGTTTGCCTGAAGAGAAAAGGAATTCCAATAAGCCCAGTACTATCAGTGCTCTCAACTATGCCTTGCAGTGTGTCCAGCAGGTCCAAGGTACGTGTGGGGAAAATCTGGAAGAACAGCAGCRTGGTTTGAATAGATGTGTCTGGCAACAAATAGCAATAAAAAATGCATTCCAGTTATCCTGCAAAGAGTTGACTTTCTGAAGCATTGTGCTTCTGTTGCTGGTTTTTTGTTAAACAATCATTATTTTTTTAATTAAGATACGCCCCCCTACTGCTTCTCTTTTCTTCAGAATCCCATAGCTAAGAGGTGCCTAATAGTAGCTTTCTATGTTTATTGAGAAAGCAGTATTCCCATCCCACTTTGAAAAATTATTGAATAGTTTGTGTTTTCCTACAGAGCAAAGTTGTTAAAATTTTACTACTTCCTTATGCTTTTTTTCTGTAACAAATGAGGTTACTCCAATAGTATAATGAGTATTCCTTTTCCCTTTGTCGCTACACAGACATTCCTCATCTCACCTTGGACTTCACCAAAAAGATGRCAAAAGTACAAGGGCTGTAAGAAATACTTTCAATGTAGTCTCCTTACTGACTTCCTTGTGTTTGTTTTGCTTTTTCTGTTTTGTTTTTTTTTCCCAATTAGCAAACAATGACTTTTTCCAGGCTCTGAATGACCGAAGAGTGTTTCAGACAGATGTGGTGACATACAGCATARAAGAGTTGGTGGCAGTTGCATCTGAACACACTCCAAAAAACACTGTAAGAATTCAGGCATACTCAAGGAGTTCATTCCGTTTCAGTAAACAGAGTCTCCTAACATTGTTTTATGGAAATAGGAGGTGTAAAAGTGAAAAGCTTTTTAAGTATTAACCAGACAGACTTTCAGGTATTTAAAGATAAATCAAGACTACTTCTTATCTGTGCTGTATCAGAATACCCAACAATAGTGAGTGAAGAAATATTAAATTTTTTTTGTTTGTTTGTTTTCTTTGTTGGTTTTTTTTCAGACAGAAGTAAAATATACCTCTTTGAGAATTCATTTACAGCAGAGTAAACTGTTGAGACAGCAGAAAGTTTTTAAAACCAATCAGATCCACAGTTGTGATGGACTTTTGGTTTCTATTTGTACTCTGCATTTAATTTTTTTTCTGGTTTTGCAATATATGTCATGCTTTCTGGCTCTAAAGAAAAGAGTGTTTCTTGAAATCCRGTACTGTTGGATGCTATATYGAAAATATTGCAAATGCTTGAAAAAATACAAAAAAGTAATGWAAAGCTCTCAGAATGTTTTTGTGTRTGGAATTGTGATGAATCCTCTGAAATTTGTGGAGGAGTGTGTGGAGTGATAGCTAGTCATTCTGAGCAAAGATAAGCGTTAATCTGTTTTGAAAAGACTAATGCAGTCTTACTAGCATTTGTAAATCTTGAGTGCACTGCTGTAGCACTGGAGAGTGTAGTAAATCACACACTACCTAACAGATTTTTTAAACCTCAGCCTGAGGTTGCAGTGTGGGGTAGTTTATGGTTGGTTGGTTTGTTTTGGGGTTGTTTTGCTTTTTACCTTTATATTATCACTACCATGTTTCAGGCGATGATTGCCTCTAATGTTTGTTTTCCAGGACACATTTGTGGCTGTATTTTCTTTGCTGTCTGGACGCATAGTACATATTTCTGAGCAGGCAGCATCTATTCTGAACTGTAAGAAAAAAGTGTTGGACTCTTGCCGGTTTGTGGAGTTGCTTGTCCCTCAGGATGTGAGTGTGTTCTACACACACACTGATCAGTCTCACCTGCCCCTTTGGAACATGGAAAGTCAAACAGGTGGGGCTTGGCAATGCTCTTGAATGCTCTGTGTGTCTTTCTGTCTTTGCAGAATGAGGATAGAGTAGTAGTTCATTTAAAATGCTTTTACCAGCAATATCAGCATCATTTGTTCCTTTCCACTTTGAAAACTGCAGTGGMTATGGGACCAGTCCTAACTAGTCTCYSAAGGGCTTAATTTACYTGGGGTAAATAAAAGGCAGATACTTCACTGTTTCATGTACCATCTTACTCATTGCAAATACTGCTGCTTTTTGAAATGAAAGTAATGGTCTGATTGTGTGATTAAAGTTGTTTAATTTACACCTTATGCTTGCTTAGGTGCTTTCTCTTTACTTTAGGTGCTTTTACTTGCTTTCTGCTCTGAACATAGCTCACCAAACCCAAGGTTTAAGGGAATTTGCTGTTTAGTGCTGGATGTGTCTAAACTGAGACTTTTGGGTCCTGTGTTGTTTCTGAACAATTCAGACGTAGCTTGCAAGCCAAGGCTGTATCTTTTGTCCACTTGGACGTGGAGCTCTTCTGGCATCAGATCTCAGAAGTCCAAAGTCCTTGGTATCAAAGGGTGTGAGACATCTGGAGGTTGTGAATGCCAGRGATTCCACAGCTTGGATGCCAGTGATGTGCCTACCCAGCAGAGCAGTGGCACCCCAGTGGTGTTGTGGTTTTCTTGTCTATATATAGTTACTGCTGCTTGGCTTATAAAGTCAGGAAAATATCATCCTTTTCACTGTGATTAACTAGAGGAAGTTTTTTTGTGGGTTTTTTAGGTTATATGCATTTCCTCTAAATTTAGTTCCAGGTTAGCCATTTCACTTTAGAGTGAGCAGACTAGAGAGAAGTAACATTTGAAGTGGGAGCAGACTGTTGAACTGACAGTTCAGTAGCTAATGAAGAGTAGGTTGTGAGACSTCAGTCTTGCTCAGAAAGTCTGGAGAATGCAGAGTTTAAAATAGCTTTCTTAGGTGTGACCTTTTAAAGGATATTACCTGATGCTTTCAATGTGTTCATTTTATTAGCTTCTCCATATGAATATGCCCAGGTGAAGTCCTTTTTCTGCAGGATCAGGTAAGTACTTTATAATAGTTTTATTTTTGTGAAGTCGGAGGGGTACTGTGCTAGGCAGAAACTGTTCTGTTGTTACAGCTGACCAGTGTGAGCCCATGAAACTCTATTACAAAATGGGCTTACTATATTTAATACTGGCATCCAGTATGGACTTTCTTAATATCTTCCCCAGAATGATGCATAAACTTGTACTCAGAAGGACGGGTTTATGCATCACTCAGAATGAAGTGAAGGGACAAGAGGAAAACCATTGATACATTTTTCTTTTGTACCTATCATTTTCCTTCAGTACTGCCATGCAGGAGAATGATCTGAAAAATTGCTGCTTCCTCTTTTGCTGTTTGAGAGTGGAGGCAGAGTGTTTTGCTTGAGATTAGGATTGCTTGAGAGTTTGGGACAGAMGCCTTAACAGAAACTTGGGTCACCTGAGTCCCAGTGTGAAGCCTGAGACTTGTGAAGCCTGAGTTGCTGCTGCTGTAGATGSTGATGTTGCTTAGTACCTGGCTAATCTTAGAGCTAAAATAGGGAAAAAAACTGGAATTGGCCTTCAGTCTTCAGTTCAGTTCTGTTCCAGACTCAGGCGATCTGTTGCTTTCAGGAAGAACTGTTTGTTTCTGAGCAGATACGACACTTACTCCATATTTCAGTTGATCATTTATTCATTCATATGTGTTTCAAAAATCACCTTTGTCTCTTGAATTGTGTAAGGGCACCTGGAATAAATATAGCAGGACAGACAGCAATGTTGGGTTTGCTGGATACATAAACATTTTACAACAGTTTTTCTCCATGCTTCTGTACAACATCTGTTTTTCCTTACGTAACAGATCTTTTGATTATGTTGSCTTTATGAGTAAAAATATTTTTTCACAAGCTAACAYTRTAGGCTTAAGTAAGAAAATKKTWTTTTTGTGAGTTAGACTTCTRCTGTATTCAATTTCCATTTGTATATTTTGTTTTCCCAAAGGCAGAAGTGTAAGAAGTAGTTTCTATGATACTTGCTTTTCTCTAGAAACATTYTACAAAACTAAGTGTGGAATAAGAAAGTAACTTTCAGTGGAAGCAATAATCTCCAAAAATGTACCTCAATTCTTTCTGTAAGAGCTGGGTAAAATACTGAGATTATAGCAGGAAGAAAAGCACTTGCAATAGAAAGTGCTAGTTTTTATTGCAGCTGTTGCAAAGCCATGGTTAAGATCTCATCAAGAATGTTGTGTGCTGCTACTGTTCACATATGTTCTAGGAAGGCAAACTCTTATGGARGACAATCAAAGAACAATGACAGTGAACCAAGGCTGGGGGAGTTTTACTTATGTAGGTCTGTGAAATAAACTTGAGAGAGACAGACATCAGGGTTTTTTTCCTTAAAATGGTACAGAATAAACAACAAGCAGAAAAAGAGCTGTTTATCTTGAGGTGGAGCACAGAATTAAATGAGTGGTTCTTGTGAATGTTTGGACTGAGAATTAGAAGATACTCTTTAACCATTAGAGTATTTTTAGACAACTTCTGAATGTACAGGCATTGGAGACARAACACCTACTTGACTTTTAACAGGATGGAGGCAGTTTTGCTGAGTGTGTTGACCTTGGATCTCAAGGGAGTATGCATAGGATCTGGTTATGTGGATTTGTGTTCTCAGCATAACTTACTTCTCTGTGCAGGGCTCTCTGTGAGTCCCAAAATCAGTGTGTTAATCCCTTTTGTGTTTCCTCAGGGGTGGCAAAGATCAAGAACAAGAAGCACGTTGTTACCCCTTCCGAATCACCCCGTACTTGGTCCATGTGTGYACTTCTGTCCGTGTGGATGCAGAGTCCTGCTGCTTAGCTTTGGCTGAGAAAATCCACTCTGGATATGAAGGCAAGTCAGGAGGCTTCRGTAGAAAAAAAATCAATTCAGTAGGAAAATGCAGTGTATGAAAGTCTTCTTCCTTTGTTTCAAACCTGTGCTTGGTTAGTTTTGCCTGTGTAACTTGCAGCTTGTAYGTGCATGCATGTGAATCCAGAACATCTGTGCTACCTTTGCCAGGCCTCAAAACATTTGACCTCTCCTTGTTTTTGTTTTTTTTTTTTGAGAGCAATCTGTAGTACCTAAAAATCTGTAGTGTTTCTATGAATTACTGGTCAGAAAGCAGTGAACAAATACAAAGTTCAGRAGCCAGTAAATATCATAAGCAAAAGTAATGGCCAAGTTTCCTGTCTTAGTGCTTATTTTGTTTCTATTAGCTCCTCGAATTCCTATGGATAAAAGAATATTCACCACCACACACACCCCTGGATGTGTTTTTCTGGACATAGATGACAGGTGAGAGATTTGAGTTCTTAAGACCTGTGAGGTATATGTAGAGATGTAGAGAAAAATCAGTTGGAGACCCGAGTAAAGTAGTTCAACTGTGCAATTGGCAATAGTTCATGAAACAAGACAGTTTTGTGTTAATCCACTTGTGTAAAACATCTCACACTCCACAGATGTAATCTCCTTTGTTGGTTTAAAACACAGGCTAAACAGAACTGCAGTCAGTTTTGCTTACCCAGGGCAATGGGGAGCTGTGGCAGCACTAAGAGTGGAAAACAAGCATAATTACTGATATTTTGCCTATGGCCTGTTGTCTTCAAGATCCCTTTTTTTTCCTCTTTGCTTGTAGATAAACACAAAACTGCCTGCAAATGTGAATATGTGTTACATCTCCAGGCACAGAAATGTTTGTTGTGGGTATTTATATGTCTGTTACAGTGCAGGATTATGAGATGGGTTGGCAAGTGTTCTGTAGCCTTAGTTCATTCCTGTGCATGGGCACTTCACAGACAAGCAAAGGATCAAGGATGCAAGTAGTCAAAACCATATTATAATGTGTGATAATGTGTTTGGGTTYCAGAGCAGTGCCTTTGTTGGGTTATTTACCTCAGGATTTAATTGGAACATCCATACTGATGTATTTGCACCCAGAGGATCGTCCTTTGATGATCACTATTCACCGGAAAAGTAAGAGCTGCTTTTAGAGGGATTTCTGTTAGTTTTATGAATCTTTCTTTATTATATTGCTTGACATGTGACTGATCTGAAGTCTAGACAAAAATTAACTCATTAATTAATGCAGTCAGTTTGAGATCAAAGCAAATTCAATCTCGAAGTTATGAGAACCCCAGTCATTAGTGCTTGTGCTTGCAYTACTGTGTCATGTAAACTAAACCTTGTTTCTTGTGTTTTTCTTTCAGTACTGAAATTTGCTGGGCAGCCTCCTTTTGAGCATTTACCTATTAGATTTTGTACTCAAAACGGAGATTATGTCATACTGGACACCAGCTGGTCCAGTTTTGTGAATCCTTGGAGCAGAAAAGTTGTGTTCATCATTGGCCGACACAAAGTCCGGACGTAAGTCAGTTGTAGAATTGATCAAATAAAGTGCTTCCCATTGATTACTCTGCAAAACAAAACAGTTTAAATACTGAACCAGAAACGTAATGTGGCTCTTGCAGATTTGACAACTGCCTAGCATCTGTCTTCAGCCTATTCCTTCAGAACAGCATTAGTCATGTTTATTAAGTATGGAAATAAGTGAATTACTTAGAAGTAAAAGGCAAAACCATGCTTCATGTCCAAATACTGTGACAATGGACAGGCCTAAATCAAAGTACCAGTTTTAGATGAGTGAAAGCTAAAAAGCAGCATAAGATTAGATGACTTTAGCAAACAATTACTTAAAATTCATTTGTGGTTGACTCACCAAAAGACTCCAGTTAATTGACCTTTCATGTTTTTTTCTGGAATATTTACTTGATAAAGAATCTAAATACTTACCAATGTMTTTTAAAAATGCAGTTGGTATTGAATGTGCAAGTGAATTTTTCAGATATTTCTCCTTCGTTTTCAAGCGATTTGAAAATGTGACTGACAGCCTTCTTCTTACCTGGTTTCTCTTATAGGAAGTGGCTTTTGGGGATGGCCTTCTGACTTTTCAAAGTGATCTTTTATACAAGATTGTATGGGGTATGAATTTGTCTTCTGAGTGAAGGAGACAGGGGGTAGATGCTTGTCAGCCTTAACTTGTGTCTCTGCTGGTGTATTGACTTCCCTGGAGCTTCCCKGCTCTCATAGCAATGCCCCACTACCCCAGCAGAGAAACTGTTGGGATAAATGACATTCCTTTGTGTTGAGTCAGCAGAACAGTCCAAATAAAATAATGATAATAAAATAAAAAATCTGTTCTAACTGTTTGTAGCTGTCTTTTCTTCATCAAATGAACATGAAATAGTGAAATATTGTTGGCTCTCTCCAGAGGCCCTGTGAATGAAGATGTGTTTGCCCCAAGGAGTAAAGAAACGAGCAGTGTGGAGAAAGAGATAAGAGAATTGCAAGGACAAATTTACAAACTGCTTCTGCAGGTAAAGAAGACAAAAGAATTTCAGAACACTGGCTGGCCTAAGTGAGAGGCTAAAGAAACTTGAGTCTGCTTAGGTGGCTGTTTTGAGGATGGTCTTCTAAAAGGTCTGAAAGGAAAGTTCTAAAAGGACAGAGGCCCAGCTCGTTACAAAAAATACTTTGTTGACATTTTTGCCAAGTCTATATGTTGAAAGGTAAATCTGCATCCTGAAACAGTTTGAAGCATGGTAGAAAATTCTTTGTAAGCAAGTGGTAGAGCCCAGACAAATACTGASTTTTCACTTGATTTTCTTTGTTTACTTGAAGTTCTGTATTACAAAGTATGTTGTTTCCTTCATGATTTTTTTTCTTTCCCTCTCATACAGCCAGTTCACAGCAATGTTTCCAGTGGTTATGGAAGCCTTGGAAGCAGTGGCTCTTATGAGCAYTATATCAGCATAGCATCTTCAAGTGATTCCAATGGCAACTGTGCAGAGGAAATACAGGAGCCGGTAAGTCTAAAAATGTGTCAGTCACTGCCTTCAGAGTGGTGTAAATACTGTAAAAATGGAAATGTTTACTGTGTACATATGCACTTCTCATCATGAATTTTACTGAAGAGGGAAGAATAAAGCCATTTTCAAGTTAAATTGGTCAATTAAAGAGTGCTGGCTTTTAGTTTTTGCTCTTAATTTTGCTGACTGCCATGGAAGAGAGTGGAAGCAGTGCTGTCATAAAACAAGCAYGGCAATTACCTAATTTCCTTGTGAGGCTCCTCGGTAAGTCATCAGCTTATTCCCGCTCTTAAGTCTTGGCATCAGTATTAAAACATTCTAATTCTGAGGCTGTTTGTTAATTTACTTAAATTAACCATGATAACTGGTTTAATTASATTTACAAATACCAATAGATACCAGGCTTAGGCTGACAGTCTACTCCCTTTCAATTTGAAGAATACAAGAACCCAAGTCAGCTCATGTGATCTCTTTGTACTCATTTTATTCTGACTTCTCATTTTTTGTGTGTCTCAAGATGACATTGCAACAAGTTTGTGCAGATGTCAACCGAATAAAGAACCTGGGGCAGCAGCTGTACATTGCATCAAGGAGCAAGCCACAGAATGGAAATGAACAGGCTGTGAGCTCAGAAGTCCTGGCAGGTAAGTTAATGTGYTATGATCCTTAAGGTAACAGGAACCCCTGTAGATCTATAGCCATGAGTTTCTTTACCTGGTGTTAAGCTGAAGAACTTTAAGATAACATTTTAGCATGGCTTAAATATGGGAAGACGTTTGTTTTGTTTAAGACCCAAAGAAACAAACAACSTCCCAAACTCACCCTCAGCAGATGCAGTAACTTTTTAACTCCTCCTTGAAATCTGGAGGAATGTATCTGTCTCTTTTGAGGTTAGCAGATTTGTCCTTTTTTATATTTTAACATTTTCYAATGCAGATGCACAMGTGCTTGTAGCAAGTACTGTGGAARCTCCCCTTGRTTGCTTTAGRTGAAGTCTTAGAACTGATCATAGCCTGGACAATATGGCCCCAGTTTCCACTGAAGCAGGGGCTTAGTTACTGAGTGCTTAACATTATCCTAATGCATGTTATTTGCATGTACCTAGCACAAATATGTGGAGAAACCTGGATGCTCTCTCAAATATCGTAGGAATCAAGTATTACAACATTTTGCACTGTGATACTCTCTATGAAAGTTGCTGRTGTTGTCCTGGAGAACTGTGCTGTCAATACTGATAAAACTCTAGACAGTGTATTCATTATATGCACAGCTGTGTATTACTGTTAAATAATGGTTGGATTTTGTGGTGTATAAATTGAAAAGAAGAGTAATATTAATTGCAGCTCTATTTACAATTTAAATGCAGGGGGTTTTATATACTGTTTCCTTTGGGTTTGCTATTTATTTGAATGGATGTTTAAGGTGGTATGTGGGGTTTCAGTTTTTCTTCAGGCATACTTTCCCTTTCTCCTTCCCTTGAAACATATAAATTGAGATGAAAATGGAGAATAACTTTGTAATGAGAGCTGTGTTGTCATAGGCCATATGTTGTGTATCATATATATGGATTCCAGTATACATTTATTTGTGTGTATTTATATTTATCTGTGTTTTGGTGAGGGTAGTGTTTAGATGCCCTTGAGAGGAATCTCTGATAGTTTCCTCTSTTCCAGGGAGGAGGCACACTGCTTCCTGTTTCCTTCAGACACTGAGAGGTGATAGCACAGAAGAGCCAGGCAAGACATTTTATGATGATCCAAAGAAGACTCCACATGTTCCTTCCTATCAGCAGATCAATTGTGTCGATAGTATYATCAGGTAATAAAATAGGAAACTATTTTAGTTACACAAGTTTAAGATTAATTGGTGAAAAGTAAATATCCAAGCAGTTTGCATTGGCCTTAAACTGTCTCGGGTTTGAGTTGGGAGATAAAGKTGGGATTGTTTATAAAGTTTTTGGCCTCTCTGAGCGTTGGGATGGATTGCCCGATCTGAATTACACAGTAATGAAGAATTTAGGACCTAAGATTCRATTTGCAACTATTTATTGGTGTTTGCCATTGGTGTGATAAGAATTTAAGTGAATTTTTATGGTCATAATACATCAGTGTCTTCTCATTATGCACTCTGAGAACATCCATCTCAAGCAGAAWATTAATAAAATTTATAAAATGTCAGTATTTTTTAACCCAGTGGATAATGTAATCTTTTTTCTTTTTTCTTTTTTTTTTCCCCCTCAAAGAGTGATAGATTTTATTTTAAATACTCCTTGGAAAGCAGATACGTGTCCAGAACTTCCTGCAGTGAATGTAAAATACTAGTAAACAACCTCTGGATCTCCAGTTTGGATTGTTGAAATGTTTATATCTCCAAATGGAGAAAAAAAYCCCACAAAGTAGAGAGAGCTTCCTGTGATATGCTTTCATTTCAGATATCTAGAGAGCTGCAGTATTCCAGCATTGAAAAGGAAATGTAAATCTTCTGCAAATACATCATCGTCATCTTCAGAAGATGGCAAACAAGTCCAGCGAAGTCAGCAGGATGTCAGGGCACTGGAAGGTAACACAAAGTGTACTGACAATCATACTAGAACCACGAAAACTGATTTGGTTCTTTTTGTGTTACTGTCGTGTGTTCCAAGGTTTGTCCACTTTTTAAAGTGTTGTGTTGCTAATGATATTTTAGTAAATGTTTGCTAAATATGTTTACCTTGCCTAGATCTCCCARTTAAACATAAGCTAAAATATTAAGTCTTTGGACATAGAATGCATCAAAAGAWCTATTGTTTGTTGTTGTTAAATGAACCTTCTGTTGCTCACTCATTTTATGCCACATTTAGTATGTGCTGACGTTGCACTGGCATGTAAATGTTTTTTTTTTAATATATAAGACTGTCTTATTTAATAGCCTGCATAGTTACTAGTTATTTCTGAACCAGTGAGACTTGATGAATTGGGAGCATAGTGCTTAGAATGGAATTCCATGTAGAAACTTTGTCATTTGCCAATAGATACTGCTATGCTGTCAGCAGTTGAGTCCCACACGCCAATATCTGCTGGTCTGGAAGAGACGCTGAAAGACCAGACAACTGCAGGCATGGTGGGAGCTCCTCTGGCAGACCTGACCCTGTCCAACAAGGCTCCAAGTGTCATGTCTGCCACCAGCCAGTGCAGCTACAGCAGCACTATAGTGCATGTCCCACACCCTGAATCAGGTACTGTTCACACTCGCAAAACCCTGACTGATATTTCAATTTGCACAATGTTTCCAGCCTGCAGTACACGGTGAGAAAGATTTGTCTGTTTAAAATACGTCCTCAATGAATGTGAATTCTGAAATATTAAGGTACTTGTCAGGGTGCTGTGAAGAAAAAATTGAGCCTGGAAAAATTTTTAGAGAGTATTTTAGTAAAATAGTTTTAACAGACTGCACTCTTTCCTTCTGCCTTGGACTTCATTGGCTATACCTCAAACACAACAGTATGCTTTTGGCCATTGAGGATTAAAATAAAAATTGCTACTGGGCCAATTACTTCATTTTAATGCAGAAAGAAGGGAAAAAAAAGGAGTATGTAGCTGCTATTGTACTAAGAAAATTGCCTCTAAATTGCCTAAGAAGAGGTGCCTCTAACTTCAAAGTGAATTTGAAGTTTTCCAGACCATGCAAAGTAATTTGCCCAGTTGATGTTAGTGTAACTATATTTGAGTGTAAAGGGTGTTTTCTCTCCCTTCCTCTGTTTAGTAGCTCAGACGAGGTTGTTTTCTGTGTAATGCTCTGGGTGTTGTGGGAGTTGACACCAGAAGGGCMGAGCAAAGAGTGATTTGTTTTCTTCCCTCTTCAAAGAAGTGACTACAATGGAGGATGCTGCTGGTGGAAGTGAACAAATTGAGCTGCCTCCTGTGAATACTCAGAGTGTTGCAGTGCTGCCTGAAGATTTAAAGCCAGTTGGGCTAACAAAAGAGACATTGTCAGCCCACACTCAAAAGGAGGAGCAGAACTACGTTGACAAGTTCMGACAGAGGGTCTTGCTCTCTCCATTTAGGACTTACCTTCAACAAGGAAGCAGAAGTAACAACAGGCATTCCTGTGGCCAAGGTAGGCAGCAGCTTTGAGAAGTAAAAACTTGTTAGATGCCCTACAAAGAGCAGTTTAGCAATGGAGTTTGGTTCTCCTTTGTATAATTTAGTGAGTGTCTTACTGTGGCTGCAGACAGAATGCTGCCAGGATTTGACAGCAGCATTGCCTATACAGAAGGTCTGCTCTGTCTTGGATCTTGCTATCTTAGACTTTTMAYAAAGCAGATAGTCAGTYATTGCAATAAACCCTGCAAATCCCAGGCAGTTTGTTGCCTCCTCTTGAAAGAATGTAAAAGATCTGATTGGGATAAGGCAAGATGATCAATAAGAAAATTGATGACATGAAGGAAAATATTGTAGATATGTCAGCAAATCCATCACTGGTTTATGGAAGRATTATCCAGAGGAAAGTCAGCTCTCTGAATAAGCCACACTCATTTATCTAGGTGCTTTTCTCTTTCTTTTTTTTTTTTTCCTTTTTTTTTAATCCCCTAGGTCTGTCATTTCAGTGAATATGTTTCTTTTTCTTCCTCCTTAGGAGATTCCCCTTCAAAGCAGATGAGCCCAGCTGGCTGCAAAAAAGGAAAACATGGAAAATTCAAGCGCCAGAAACCTCAGAGACAGTGCTCAGATAGCCACTCTTCTAGTAAAAATACTAGTAAAAATAGAAATAGTCTTCCATGTGAGAAGAGAACAAATCAGAAACAGTTCTCTCCTTCAGAAGTGTCCTGTCTGAGCTCCTCCAGTCTGAATGTCCATCCTCCTGTGGGATTTCCTGTCTATTCGAATCCAGTKTCTACTTTTCCAGCCTCTTCTGGAGGAGAGCAGCTTGCCCTTCGCTCATTACAACCTCAGTCCATGTCCTCRTCACAGCTATGCTGTGGAACACAGTCATACCCAATCTTTTAYCCCCCAAACATAGGCACATTTATGGCTGTGCTTTTTCAGGGTTTCCCCATGTATGCTCAGATGCCTCAACATGTCTTTCTCCCTAGCCCTCAGTGTGTTTATCCCCCGTCTTCATATCTATGCACCACACTACCTCCAGCACCTCCTCCTTGTGCTCCATCACCAGTAGCACCACAATCTGTCGATCAGCCCTTCCCAGCCTCTCCTCACACATCCGTGGAGGACCAGCAAGAGGGCCAATGTGACCAGGCCCTGCTACTGAGCAGCTCACGGAGCAGCTCCCCACTTCAGCTGAATTTGCTTCAAGAAGAGCTGCCAAAACCTATGGAGCTTTCTGCTAGTGCTGATGTTAAGCCACATGCAGAAGATAAATGCGTAAGTAACAAAGATGTTTCATGTAGAAGAGAAACTGAYTTCCAGTGTTCTTTTACCAAAATCAGTGGTGATGATCTGTGTGTCAGGGACACAGATTCTGTTAGCTGCTTTTTCTGTTGGCTGTGCTATGTAGGCTGCAGGTGACCAATAGCACAGGAGRTGGAGAAAGCAGTTTATACTTGTGTTTATGGGAACTTGTACCAGTACAGTTGTCACCTAGTAAATGACAGAAATGTGAGATTTGGCTGCCAAAAGCCACTTCTGCTCAGTATTTTGGCAGCAGCCTCTTCAGTGGAACTGTCAGCTAGAATTTGGGGTTTGGGGCTTTTATGCATGTGGAACTTGGTTAGTGCTGCGCAATTTGCATCCTTTTTCACCCAGTCCCACAGTCTCTGTGGAGAACCAAAACAAAGGGAAGATACTTTTCTAATTACTCCCTCTGTCTCCCAGGGATGCAGCTAATGAAAGAAGAACAGGGATCCGTGTGGGTCGGTTTCCATACATGGGCATAGAAAAGGCCTCTCCAACTTCCGCGGTAAACACAGAGGCAGGAATCTGAGCTCTGCAGGCAAGGAAAAAAATGTTGCCTCCTGAATCCAGATTGGGCTGGAAAGGCTGGATCAGCTGAAACTGCAGGGTAGGGTCCTGAAAGGGGAGCTGGTGTACCTGGAGCTGCTGAAGCAGTTGCTTCGCATAGTGAATCAGGGGAAGAGTCTCTCATTTTCCCTGTAGTGCATCTTTGCTTGATGTGWATGGCTGCTTCCTGCCATCTAACAGGATGTGAAGGGAACTGACTCCTCTCTTGTCAGCAGAAAGTGTTAACTTTATGCAACAGTACAATATCCTGACAAAGACCAGTAAACTACAACAGAGAGCAGTAAACTACAGTTCAGTTGCTTGTTGATTTTCACCCATGAAGAGTGTTAGCCTGAGTTCTAAACCGYCACTCATTTTCAGAGCTAGAAAACTGCAAACCTGTGAATTGATATGAGAACTTGRTCAGCGTGTGACAAATGCAGTAAATGCATGAATTTCTCTTTGCATACTTAAATGTAACTTCTGTGGATGTGTTGGATCTGCTTTTTGTCTCCAGGATAATGATCCAGAAGATAGTGGTAACGGTGCTGCTCTTGAATTTCCTGACCGCTCRTTGTATGAGGACTCACAGTTGGGTTCAGGTTCAGCAGCATCAGGCAGTGGATCAGCTTTAACTGGTTCTTTAGTCTCTAGCTTCAACGAGACTTCTGGGCATGGCACAGGTAGGGAAGTCCAAGATTTAGGTATTTGGTGCTAGATGGCTTGCTAACATGTAATTAATAGCATACTGTAATGGGGATGGGAAACCTATGTAAGAGGATCCATGGTCTTTATTTTTCACCACTTTCAGGGTTTGAAGCCAAGTTTGTTTCAGTCACTGTAGTTGGAAATGTGAGTCTAAGAAGCCTTTCCTTTAACCTGGAAGTCACTCTTTCATTTTGTTCATTATTACTTTTCATTGTATTAGATACCGGTTTGCATCTTACTTGACTAAAGATAAATCTGCCTAGAGCAGGACCTCTCAGAAGCAGAGAAGTTGTGCCAATTAATTTTGAGAAAAGTGAATAGAGCTTTGGAAATCTTGAATAGCATAAGAGAATGCATGTTATCTTTGAATCCTTGATAAGTGGTAATTGCGAGAGCAATCATCTGGTGGGAGTACCTGTGTATTACAGAACTAACTTGCAAGAATACACTGGTGKTGTTTTACTTTTTGTGTTGAATTACTGGGATTTTTCAGGCATCTGCCTTTTTTTTTCCTCATGGTCATTCTCAGCAGGTAGTGGGAAAAGCAGCAAGTATTTTGCCAGTAATTGTTCTTCTGMAACTTCCAAAGAAAAGAAGAATCAGGAAGCAGAAGAAAAAGGGACAGCTTATAAATCGAAACATGAGTCAGCCTGGGTGATGATGGATCACACACCTGAGCGAGCTCTAATGAATTACCAAATGCCAAACAGGTTGGAAAACATCAACAATTTCTGACATGTAGTTTGTAATTGTGCATGGAACTATAGGCTTAAAGTGAGGGAGTGGAAATAGCACACATACCAGTGAAACTTCATGAAGATGTGTTAGTTTGCTTCTGTACAGTTTAGGCCTGGTTATTTGCTTTTGTCTACTTTTTTCCCATTCTTCCCATCAGTTAAATAAGGTAACAYGTAACYTTTTTTGCTGAAGTATTARTGGGATTGGATATGGTCCTGTATTTGGARTGCTTAAAGGGATAAAAGTCCAGGTTATTTGCAAGTTGCTTGCAATTAGCTTTCATATGATTTCTAATTGAATTCCACGTTTTAAAAAGCCCCACATAAAGCCATAAAACAAAACAAAAAACCCCCACAACAAACAACCMAAAACTCTCAACAAAACCAATATCAAACAAACCCTTGACTGTTATCCTGGTGTTGAAAGCAGCCTTGCAAAGCAAATAAGGTACAAAGTACAGTTCTTTTCAACAGCTGATGCTGTCTAGGCTTCAGCCATAGATGGTGGTGAAAAGACTCTGATAGTGTCAGTGCCTGTCTTGCTTTGTGTAGGTACAGCTGTGCTCACAGGTGTCTCTTACCTGCAGAATCAAAGAGGAAGTTCTAAAGCAGGATCTGGAGAAGCTGGCAGTCATGCAAAAGCAGCAGCCTTGGTTTACAGACGGGCAGAAGAAGGAGCTTGCAGAGGTGCACACGTGGATCCGGACCCAGACTGTCCCCCTGCAAATCAGCACCCAGGTGAGCAGCAGGAAAGGACTCATTCCATTTCTAACCAGGACTRTCTTATCTTACCATCTAACCAGCACCCAGTGCTGGGTTATGGATGTCAGTACAGGCAGGAAATGAGTTCAGTCACACTAGCCAGAAAAGAAATGCCAACATAGAGGTCTTGCCATTATAATTTTTTTGGGGTTTGTTATGCAAATTCTRTATAGGAAACACCAGTAGTAAAGTTCCTTCAGTCACAGTGTTGGATGAAGGGAATAGTGTCATGATCTTATGTAAGACATCTAGAATTGTTTTTTTTCTCTTGATATTAAGTCTTTTGTTCCTTTTCTTATAAATTTTTTGCCATAATTGAATAGCATATAAGGCTGGGATGTCAGTGAAGATTAGAACACGTGTGTTCAGGAAGTTGAAAAATGTTCATTTACAGAGAAGGGTCAGGTGTTTTGTTAGAAACACAAAAATAGCCATTTTTTGGTAGGTGTATTCATTCATTCAGTTTTATACCTGATTATTTTAGCTGGTGTAGCTCTCGGGCACTCTGCTAAATTCCTTCTGATGTGTAYTGGTGTGTGTTAGAGAATATCCTAATGAGTTAAAAGTGCTCTGAGGTGCTGTGGGGGGGAACAAGGGCCTTCTAGTCCCACAGAGACCTGGAGCTTCAGTGTTGAGTGGTAAAGAAAATCTTAATGCTATGTTCATGTACTTGTGCAGCAGAAAAATCTCATGTCAGTTTTGGCACTGCATACTGGGCTAGGATTGTCAAATGTTCTATTTATCTCAGAGAAGAAAAACTAAAACATGTATGTCCTTGGCTATGGAGCTAGACCAGAAAATTAGTCTTTGTATTTCTAATTACCTCACAGATAAAAATCACATGTCCTGTTGTGGKTARGACACTGTGTTTGATTCAGATASCAAAATGATGTCCAGTCATCTTGTAGAAAATTCTGTTRAATGTTTATATCTCAAATGTKAGGAAAAGTGTTSATATGCAAATATCTGTATTTTCTAMGGTCATGAAACYGTWGTTAAGCAGAAAGCCATGTTTCCAGTGCATATTGTGATTTTGCAAATACAGCTAAGGCTTCTGAAAGTAGCAATAAATACAGCCAGGCTTCTGTTTGGGTATTTTAATACAGTACCATTTCTCAAGAACAAGAAAAATCTCATCTGTCAATACACCCAGGCATTTCAGCTATTTATATTGGTTAGTATTTTTGCCCTTCAGGCTGCAGTCCAAATCTTCAATAAGGAACTTGCTTATAAAGCTGAATGATAAGGTTTTCAAATTCAAGAAAGTYACGTGCCTTTTTATCTCAGAGGTAGAACTGTATGTTCCACTAACTAAATTAATTAATCTCTGAGAAAGGTAAGTTGCAGGTGTAAATATCTGCTTCTGAAAATGAGATCTGTGTAAATCTCTGCTTTTAGAGAGATCTCAGCCCATTGGTGAGAGGTTTCAAGAGATTGCAATGTATCATTCCAGAGGATTTGACCCTTTGAAATATACTTGTGAAAGGTAAATATTAAATTACTGCTTCTCATTCCTTTTTCAAGGGCTGTGTTACGTGTGACAGCAGGGAAGCAAGCTGTGAGGCTGCAGTAGCTGATGACAGCATGGAAAACAAGGGAGAAGCCCCTCCAGTCCTGCAGCGCTGAGGACATCAGTGTCAGTTCAACTGCTTGGTGTAATTCCCATCCTCTTTCCCTCTGGCTTTGCTCCATACCAGCAGTGACTCCACATGGCCATCTCTTACCAACATGAGCAGTGACACCTGAAACTCAACCTTCCTCCATTGCACCTCTGCTCCTGGCATGACTCTGGAGACAATCTTTCAGTGGGAGGGTGTTTCRCTTTCTGACCTCACAGACTTGACACAGAATGAGTTATTTTGTAACCTTTAAYTGCTCAATGATGAGCAAAATACAAAGATTATTTTGGTTTGGGTGTTTGTTTTTTTGAAGTTGGCAAGTCTGGAAAGATGCACTGTTTAAACCTATGGTGATGAACCTATTGATCAGAGCATGTTTACTCTCCAAGTAAGGTGGATGTGTTGAAACCAAGCTACAACAGAGTACTCTTTATTTTTGTTCAATATTTAAAGGTCTAGACTAAAGATCCAAATACTCTGGGGCTCTGAAATTGCTGTAGCTGGTTTGAGAATCCAATAGGCTTTATAAAGAGCAGCTGAAACTGGCCAGGTTATTCTGCATCAAATGCCTTTTGCCAGCTTGTGCCCATTGGAAATAATTAACTTCTCCCTTTTTTCTTTTTGATGCATGTTTTGGAGTAATGTTTCACAGCTTTTGATTTTAAAGCTGTGTTTATCAATACAGATATAGAAATTAATTGAGGAAATCCATCAGAGATGAAATTACATACAGCAATCAAAAAGACARCCAACCCAAAAGTATCAATCTACAGGTTCTGCTTTTTTAAAACAGACCCATGGAAAATTTTCTCTATCAAGGCAAGTAGTTATCAATTAAAGTCGTTACATGTAATCTTTTATCTTATATTGCTACTGCTTGGGAAGGTGGGTTTGTATCTTAATGTTATTGAGTGGATAGAGGAGTTGAATCCAGACATAGCAAATAGGAAATTATTTAAACCATTTCTCTGATTTGTTTTTGTCGTGGTGATGCCAAAACTAAAAAGAATTAATTCCATTTCTTCTGCTTTCAAAACTCACTTGTGGAGCCAAACTTGAACATCAAACCACTTACTAATTTCTTAGCTCTGTTGACTTCCTTCACAAAATTAAACGTCTTTCTTCGTAATGGAGTCTCTGGCTATTGAAATCCATGGATGAAAAAGGAGTTTGTGGTTCAGAAAGTGGCAACCATTTTTGGTATGTAAAAGGACTTGTTCTCATGAATGTCTCAAAGTGCTCTTCAAACAGGACACGCTTGGCTAAAACCTGGCAAATTTTGTTTGATTTCCCCTGTTTATCTAAAGCTGSATGTAATCAGATTTTCCTTGTGGTGTTATTAATCATATTAGCTTTCTCAACAAAGAGTTTCAGAATGTAACACATTATTTACCATTTTGTTCTGTGTAATTCTKCTGCTGCTGTGTGAAATATTTTCAKTTCTCTARTTYCTGTTACTAGTAAGCTTCAAGTTGTTAAGTTAAAAATACTGTGGTCTGCTGGTCATTGAAGGTCATACAGGTCATTGTATTTGTCTAAATATTTCTTTATTTGTAAAAGTCAATCCAGTGACAATCTTTCTTGTTAAAATTTATTTTAAGGAAAGTTATTTTTACAGAATTTTGAGTTTTCAAGGCTGATTTGACTCACGCAGCCTTCTTTTTATGGTTTTGGGTTTTGCAGTATTTTTGCCTGCCCAGTGTATATCTATTGGTTTCTATTTATTCTTAAGCTGCATTTTTGTCCTTCAGTTTTTTCAGCTTCAACTTGTTTTCTTTCTTGTGTTGTAAATCAGCAGAGGTCCACACATCCTCAGTACTGCTTGTGTTCAAACTTCAAACACCTCTTAAAAGAAGAGACTTCAGTAGGTGTTTACTTGCAGCAGGTTATGTATTCAATAGGAAGATGTGGGCAATATCTTRCACCTTTCCTAGACTTTTTACAGCATTTTCCAAATATGGTATTCTGCTTTATAACCACACTGCCTAAAATATTTGCTCTGAATCATGTAATAAGAATACTTTGTGTATAGGTTCTTTCTTGATTGGGAAGCTKCTTGATTAACTTATCTGTCAAATTAGACTTATGCACTAGAATCCATTCTACTTGGCTGTGCTTAAATTAAAATGATTGCTTCAATGCATTTTGAGACTTAGTGAAATAGATTAAATTGAATATTTCAGGTAAGGACAGCTGTCGTCTTCAAAATAGTTTGGAATTCTAAGCCAGAAGGAAAGTTGAGGTAACAGTGAACTCTTCAGTGTACATTATTTTCATTTCCTAAGTTTGAAAGTGTTCATTTCCCAAGTATGAAAATGAGTTGAATTGCAGTGTCTTAGCAGGCAGACATGGCATCTCTTTTGTGAAACAGTGAGACTTAGCTGAGGAGAATGGCAATATGTACCAAACATTTGAATAATGCTTTTCATCTATAGGTCTGTGAACATGTCAGAAAGRTGACTATTATTCTCCCAGTTGTATAAAAAGAGGCAGAGACACGAAGGTGCATACCCCCACGTCATTCTAAATTCAGGAGTAAAATTTGGGAATCTYCACTTGCTGTATCCTGTCTTTGCTACAAGTGATCAAGGTTGATGTGTTTTAGAAACCTGATAATATTACCAGTGTTTCTTTTTTGGAGATGTTAAGCCTTCTTGTACCCCCCACTGCTGTGAAATTGTGCCCAGTAGAGTCATCAAGCAAGAGAAAGCCCAGACCAGGCAGTTTTTGAATTGCTGTGAATACCACAGACCCCTCTGGTCACAGATGATGAACATTCATGTGCCTAGGAGTTTGAACTCCAAGTTTGTAATCCTGGCTAAATCTGAGGTGCAGGATCCCTTGTCTGGGACTACACAAGTCCTGGGCTATGGAAAAAAAATTTGCTGTGGGAGAAGAACATAAGAGCAGTGAAGAGATGAATCAGTGCTCTGTGTTATGATGAGACAACTATTTGCCCAAAAATCAAATGGTCTTGGCTGCAAAATCAGGCTTAAGATTAAAAAAACCCCAAACTTCCCCAAGGTACTCTTTACCATGTTAGAACCACAACTTCATCTTGCAATGAAATGCCTTATCGAGTCTTTGACCTCATTTCCATAAGTTTGCAGGAACTGGCAGTTTTTACTTCAGCTTGTACCAATATTTCAGTCCTTGTAGTGTGCTGGAGTGATGACAGCAAGATGCAGTTCTGCTCAGAAAGGCCAATGGAGTAAGTGTTGCAGCCAGATTTGCAGCTGCTGTTTTATTTCTGTGGCTTTGTTTTGCCTGGCAAAATGTTGCAGACAGTTTAGAGCTGCTTGGAAGGTTTAAATTTCACTTATTTGGTGATCAGAGGGAAAACATGCTGGTACAGCACTGATGCAGTTACTGCCCCCTGTGGGGGTGTCAGCAGTTTGGAAACCCTTGGAGGATTTCGCTGGCGATTTTTTTTTTGTTGTTGTTGTATTCATAAATGTAGAATTATGTTTTTAAAAGATGAGTTGATGTGCAGATATTTTCATGGCATTGCTATGAACAGAAGGGACCCTCATKTGTTTTTACAGTGTGGTAAATACTTGCTGAATGAGTAATGTATTGGTAAGTTTATCTTCCAGCTGAATCAAGTTTTGAATCACAATTGAATGAATTTTTACATCAGTTGCTAGGAGTATTTTATTGAAATAGTATTCAGCTGTGGTTGAATTTACAGTTGTGATTTTAACTGTACACTTTAAAGGAGCATCTGATTTTATAAATAAAACTGAAAAATATGCTGCAAAGAACTGTTTCAAATGTGTGTTTGCTTTTGTTCTTGGTAATGTGTAGAAAATAGACTTTCAAGGAAATACATTTTTCTGATTGTACATGGGTTGGGGTACAGTGTCCAYGGGGTTTTGGGTGTAGTGAGAATGYAGTGACCATTTCTGCTGTTTTGTTGAGCTGGCCTAACTGGAACAATAAATTGATTAGGTATTGCTTCTTTAGATGCCAGGAATGTTAGCAAGTATTTTTGCAGTTTTAAAAGATAAAAATTCAGTGTTTATTGATACTTTAGGATTTTAGCTTCTGTATTTTTCTGATTCTGTAATCCTGTAATTCTTCATTGGATAACTCCAGACTCCATATACACTGCTAAGCTCCTGTTCTCCCATTTTTAGACAAAACAATTCCTCTTTAGGCCCGAAACTGAAGGACACCTCACTGTCCCAGGCTCCAAGGGATGGAAACAACAGAGAATTGGGGGGAGAAAACTGGGAGTAAATTACAACATTACCTGAAGCTGCAGTTGGAGAATTAACCCCCAATATACAAATGGACAACATTTATAAAGCGTGAAAATCCCGCACTGATTGTCCATTTTTGGGTGTAGCCCCTGGGTGGGCTGTGACTGCCTTCAATGTACCTGAAGGCTCTTCAATAAATAGAACAGCTTTTATTCTCTTAGTTGTGTCTAGTCTTTGTTTTAGGTAAGCCAGATTTAGACATTGTTATAGTTCAATTACCTGGTCTTGACTCCATCCTCAACACCTGACAGCCATTCCTGTCTTTTCTCTCTCAGATAGAGGGCTAGTGAACTTTTTAATACTGGTAATATTTTTCTATTTTCATTCATTCTGGTTTTATTTATTTAGCTTTATGCTTGCAATTTTTGAAAATACATATTTTTTCCTAAGTCTTTTTAGGCTCTACACTTCTCCCTGTCTGCATGTCTATCTTAGCTGGTTATTCATTTAGATAAATTTGAAGTCTTTTCTGACAAGTTTTTATTGTCTGATGAGGTAGCAGAAAAGGAGTAATTTCCAGACAGGCAGGTGTTTGCTCCACTCTGTAGGAGGATAAATGTGCAGAAGATTTCAAGTAGCTRCACAGTGCATCCCTCTGCTCTGACTTTCTGAGGACATTTTTCTCTGTTACAGCTGGCACCATCTGTCTTATCATTCACCTGAGGTGAACAAGCTGTTTTAAGCCTGTAGGCTTTGTTTAAACAGCACAGTCAGAGATTTATGATGAGCACTGCTGAGATCAATGTAGCCTGTTTATCACTGTTGGGTGAGTTTACTTCCAGCTTTCTGTGAGCCTGGATTGGTGTGAGGTTAGTGTGAAGTGTGTGTTGAGGGGTTCACAGCTCAGTTTGTGCATATTATCAAAAGTGGCATCCCCCAGAGGCAGCTCTGCCTGTTTAGCTCCATTCCTTGCAGTTCCTATCAGAAGATGCTCAGGGCTGAGAGAGTCTGCTGATACTCTGCACACAAAGGAAGCCTTTTGCAGCTGCAGTTTTGTGCTCTCCTTTATCTGCTTTACATGCCAAGATGGAACAGTGCTACCAGTGAGCTCAGGGGAACAAATCTCACTSTCCTGGAGTGTCCAGGCAGGAGGTGCCTTGGCCTGGTGGCCCAGGTTATCTGTGTCCATTGTCACCTTCCTGCACCTGCACCAGACTCTTTCAAATGCTGTCATTGCTGCCTCCACTGTCCAAATCTGGGTGTAAAGACAGACACTGACAACCACGTTAACCTTCCGTGCTGTGCTTGGKGATAATCACACACAATTCTTAAAGCCCGTGGTGTGCACAGGCAGCCCTGGTGTGACGAGGAGCTGGGGGCTGGRAAAAGTGCAGAGAAATAGATTTGTGGATCTTTTTATGAGTGACCAAGGGGGAAAGACATTTCCATCAGTAGTGGGAGCAGATGCTTGATCCTGACATGTGCTTGTGGTTTTTGTGGTGCCTTGGGGAAGGCAGGAGGGGACTGGGCATTGTGAGCTGTCATCCCTTACCTGCTCAGTATCATCAGGGAATGCAGCAATGGCCCTTTCTTCCTGGCACCCCAAGTGACAAAGGAGAAMCTCCCCTCCCTCTGGATTCAGACAGAGCTGAGCTCTGGGAGGTTTCACAGGACCCCACATGAATCTGCCTTTCCCTGCCCAAGTTCTCTTTGTGTTGTGTATTTATCTCTTTGTCCCATTACTTTCTTCCTGTTGTGCTGAGCTCTAAGGAAATAGTCCATTGCTCACAACATCATTGCAAAACATCRAGAATTTATTCATTTCCAAGCAGCATAGATTCTGAAGTCAGGCACTGCCTTTGCATTCCTTCATTCTCATTTTAAATCAAGCAAATCTATATACATGTTTTCAGACATCTGTATAAATTATGCAACCAGCCARGGAGTTTGCTGTTCACACACAGTATTTCCAGAAGCACTCAGAAAGATTCCCACGTTTCTTGTACTGTTTCCTGTCCTTGGTCAAGAAGCGTCCCAGCAAAGCAATTCGAGGATGATTCCCATAGAAAGTCTGAAACCAAAGAGTTTTGGAGATGTTACTGTGGATGGCACCAGTTCCCAGTGGGAAARTTCACTCTTCACTGCCCCAGTCCTGTGTTCTGACTGCCCACTGTGCCCTCTGCCTTAGCTAAAACTCATCCCTGTCTTCTGCAATTACATTGATTTTTTTATTTTATATTCTATTTGCATTTRCATTCTGCAATTACAATTCAGCAGGCAGTGAACAGGGATGATYTTCTTCATGTAACTAATGGTTTATCACAAATCTGATCATACTGTGTAGCCTGTGCTTGGGAGAGGGG